GTTTTCGTTTTGGAAAAAGTATATATATGTATATTTAGTATGTAGTAGAAAATATATGAACTTCAACGTTTTCCGCGGACTGATTATTTCTAGTATTTTTTTTTTTTAATTTTTAGTTCCACTCCGTGCAGAGGTCCGCTCGCAACTGAAATATATTTTGTAGGATTTTGGTGAATTTTCCCTCGATCGCTAAGATCGGTACCAAATTCGTTAAGTATGTGTTTCTAAGTTAGTGTGCTTGTCGCAAGTTGAACACAAAGGCAAAAGCCAAAAATCGGAAATGTAAGAAAATCGAAAAATCTATTTATCTGGTAGGAATACATGCATTAATGATATGATAGTGAGTACGATTATGTTAGACGAAAATGTGCCAGTCGGTGGTCGTCACACTCGGAAAAGCTTATCAGCATCCGAGAGCATCGAGAGCGCAAAGAGTAGCATCAATTCCGAATTGTTAGCAACATATACTCCCGCATGACGAATATTTGGAAAAACAATGCAAGGAAAAATTTGGAAAATTTTCACTCAAACCGTAAAATTTCAAAATTGAAGGTGCTTACTTAGTAACCAGTAGTGTGTATATTTGCTGTATGCACGTATTTATATTCATTGAAGGACGCGACACTGTATTTGCTTTTGGATAGCTTTTGTCTTTGGTGCTTTGTTGTTCATTAATTTGATGACTTACAAAATCGAAAAATTAACAATATCACTAGATTGTCTGGCATTTTCATATTTTCGCATTAATTCATCTCATTTTGACTATGGAATATAAAAGTTATAATTAACACAAACAATATATATGTATGTATATGGTATGCAGTAATGACTCTGAAATAAAAAACAAGGCTGATATTTAGTAGGAATGTTTTCCGTCTTTACAGTTCGGAAAGCATTCAGCCTCAGTGTAATAAACTTAGTAACAAATGGACTGAAAACTGAACTGAAAAAATATTATTAGGTAAGTATGAAAATAATTAGTCATTTTTGGCGAAAACAAATAATAAATACCCTTTCATTCATGTGATATTCATAACCTTACCATATTAAATTGTACTTTCGGTCACGTGCTCACTACTTCAAACTGACTGATGAGACATATGTATGTATGTAAATAATTTGGCTAGGAGTCTAAGCATATGGGCCGGTTTCTTTTCACGTGCAAAAATGTCATAATTATTTATTTTACATGCATTCACTCTTAGCCACGCCAAACTTAGCATTATACTTTCTTAAACTTTTTTCGGAAAATAAAATAAAATAAAACTATACTTTCAATTATAGAGTAAATGAAATTAAATTAAAAATGAATAAAATATACAATTTTTTCATCGCAGGCCAGTCTCTTTTGTAAATCTCACTAACTTTCAAATTAGTTTGTCTATAGCTGAATGTGTTTTGTTTTTAATTTTTAATATTTTTGATAAATAACATGTCTTAGCTTTAACTTATTTCTGAATAAAAAATGTCTATACCGCAAAAGGTACCACTGTAAAGTGTTTTAAAATATGCACAGCACTTGAAAATTTTGAGCGGTAGGCTTTTCGTGGACACGAGTGTACGCATACCATTCATTTCATAATCTATAAAATGTACATAAATATTAATAAATTTTTCGTCATATAATATAAATTTTGAATATCATTAACCAATTTTACTCCGCCTGAAAGTATGCTTCTCATCGACACTGGCTGCTTTATAATCTATTACATTCAACTAAAATGAGCTAGTTGTCAATTGAACACATGATGATAACAATGTCGCCTACTCTTCGTTAATATCCCAATTCCTCACCAAGCATGCCCCTTTTTGCCCACAATTCGTTCAAACACTCAGCAGGGGAGTAGAAATGAGTTTAGTAAAATTTTGTACTTGCTTAAATACGGTTATAGGCACAGTAGAAAGACGCCAGTGTCAGCATTTCTGATTACCACATTCACTTTCGTGACGAAAAGAGCTTAATAAATTTTCACTTAAATTTAAAGCCTAAGAAAAAGGAAAATTTTGCCAAAAATTTATTTGTGAATACATCATTTATTTAGCTAGTACAAAGTATTCAGTGATTCCGCAATCCTCGCCCCTCTCGTTAAAAGCTTTAACCGAACCCGTTTTGCGGAAAATCGAAGAAACCTACCAGAACGTCGGCGAAAAGAAGCACGGGGGTGATCCAAGTGTTGTAATGCTGTTCGAAGTGATAGCTGGAATATTTGACCCAAAGTTCATGAACTAAGCCAAGAAGCGACGACATAAACGTTAAATAGAAGCTAATATCTATTGGTTCAGTGAATTTGTGACCACAAAAATCGATCTGTTATCGATGCAGTTAACGGTGAAAGGGAAACATTACCAAAAAACACAACCTTTTAACAAACTTTAGCGTTTTTGGTGTGTTTTTGTATTGGTTTTAAAAATGTTGCGTGAAAATCTTCGATTGAATGTGCGGCAAAGTGTAAATTGATTTATGTGTATATTAATAAATTGTTATAACATATTCATTCACCTATGTATATAAACATTTGTGTTGGTTAGATGTTCATATACAATAAACAGTTAGGAAACTGTGTTAAATATATGAAAGAAGAATCAGTAAAATTGACATTGACTTGGGAAGGAAAAGCGTGCGAATGACATTTCTGCTGGTCGGCGAAAATACCAGGGAGAGCCCGCAAATATTTGTTTGCCAAAGAGCGCAAGTGTTTACAAACCAACAGTGAGAGAAGTATTCCTGCATTTGTATGTAAATAATAATAATAAAAACGTGAACAACCCCAAAAAGTTAGAATATCCTTTAGTAGAAAACGTGCATTCTCAAAGTTACAACCCAGTCGTCGGAGTTAAGCTGCGGCAAAGAGTCGAAACAAATCTGAAACTCTAAGAAACGCCAATATTTTGCAAAACAAAATTTTTTGACAAATTGTTAAGCTGTTCAAAGCGAAAACAGCTGTGAAGGTGAGTACATTAAAATTCATACAAGTGACTAATATCGCATATTTACCACACATATGTATGTATGTACGTACGTTCTTTCAACTACATGTATGTAAGTAGTAAAATGCGATAATTACAAACTGAAAATTTCCCGTCAATTTCCTTTGTTTTGCTATTTCAGTTTTGCATATAAAAATCAGCATTTCAATTACATAACTTGCTTAATACATTATTTATATACAAAATTTTAACGCATTAAAAATATCCGCATTTTTACAAATGTTCTGCTTATTTCAGTTTCTTGTGCTTCATGTCAGTGGGTTATTTTTAGGCTGAGAAAACGCCAAAAATTTAAATGAATGCTTTGAATTCGAAATTCAGACACCGCAGAGACATATTTATTTGCGTCATTGAGTCAGATGTTTAAGTAAATAACGCACGCACATTTGTCTAAAATAAATTGACTTGCTTAAAGTTTTCCTCTCATCATCAGAATAACAAATTTAGTGCATCAACTATAATTTTGGATGTTTGTTTTTGTTTGACGCTTCTATAGACGAATAATATTCAGCTCTTTTCCTAGCAGTGAAATAACAGTAAACACTTTCTTAACTGTGAAAAAGTGTATACATAGGTAAGTATGTATGTACGTAAAGAGGGCCACGACAGCAAGTTGCATCAGAAAAACGAAATCATACATACATACATAAGATATTTTAGATGAAGAAGGAAATAACTTAAGTTGAGGAAAATATTTTTTCTAAATAAATTTATAAATATTGTATTAAGTTCTCAATTTCTCAACTGGCACTTCAATGCTTTCCAAGAGTTATTATCGATAGCCCTGATTCAATTGATCTTTATATACATATCAATGTATATGTATGTACCTACGCGTATAACCCTATTTGTATATTAATCATTTATTTTAATATTATTCAAAAGCACACGCATACTTTTATCTTATCTTATCACAATCACAATCATTCATATGCCTATGTTGATACCCTACCAATGGTGGTCTTATAAAATTCGACAAATACGTAAAGAGACAACGGAAAGTAATGTATATGTGTATGTATAGTTAATACAAAACTTCGTATGGCCTTTTTGAGTTCAAATCTGATGATACAATATACATAGATGTACTCTAAAGTTCCACTTCGGGGTCAATACGACTCACTGTAGGGTGTTTTCCCTACATATGTATATGTATGTACGTACATGTATAGTAAACACAAATAGATAATGAAAACAAACTCGAAAACCTATTAAAAGTCGAAGTCTGCTTGCAATATACTTGAGCGCCCTTAAATCAATCAGTATGCAACCTGTTTGCCCTATTTCAACATTTATTAAACATATGTATGTACATATGTATATGGTTATATGTACATATACATATGCATGTATGTATATCCCAACCTCAATACCATACAATGAAACCAACTAGTTAATATTACCACACATCTCGAATATGCCGAAAGCCCAACCAGTCAGCCGACTTCCTTTTGCCCGAAGAAAATATCGTCTAAAGACATTCTGTAATTAGCCTAGATTTGACATTTTTCCTAGTTCGGTTTCAGGAACTCTTAGATGTGATCGACTGCTGTGCTACACTGAGTATAGTGATCCTCCAACTTTTCGAATCCAATTTTGTTGTATAATTTGTTCTTTGCAAACAAAACAAACTGCTCTGAATCATCAACTAGCGGCACCCACTTTGCACAGAGGTGTATATCTTTAGAGTGAATGATATCTCGAACAGCTTCACTTTATGATCATCCAAAATTATTTTGTGGACTTTTTTGGTGAATTTAGCCTACCAATCCTTGATGGTTGAATCGAAGTTCATCGTCAAGCTTCATCTAAATTCCTTTTTTATCCATTTTTCACAATAACAAAAGTTGTTGCACTCAAAATGTTATGTATGTTCACGAACAAATGATCTGACAGCTGAATTTATACACGCACACTTAGAAGGTTATGGCTATGGATTTAATTCTATTTGTGCCATCAAGTGTGAGGCCGATAATATGAATATTATTGTATTTCTTGGGTTTAATAGTTTATTTGACTTGTTGGTTACTTGATCATTTTTTCAGATGACCGATGGCTTGCACGCATTGACGGCAATAATGGCAACAACAATACCTAGCTGTAATAAGTGAAATTTTACTCCAAACGCGTTAAATCGATAATGGAGCGGAATAACTTCATGGAGGAGTTGTGTTATATATGTACATATGTAATTTGAAAGCCGAGCGCCAAGTGTTTGTACATACAATTTTTAAATTTGAACAGCTTTGAAATTACAATTATTGTACAAAAACTTTACTTTAAGCATCTGAACGCCAAATGAGTATACAATACTTATACCACAGCACTTAGTAGTAAGCCACTCAACCTAAAATGGGAATTCAGACTCGAATGTAATTTCACAAATCTATATGTATGGTATATATGTATATACAAGTACATACATACTGAGTACTAATTCCACCAAATCGCCCTCCATAGATACATACATACATATGTATGTATGTAGCCAAAGTTTGTTTCACACGCGACAATCAAATATTCTTTCCAGCTGAGTAAGCATACAAGCAATCGCATACTTACGATCTTGTTTTTTTAGCTTGAAATAAAATAAAGCCATTCAAAGTTATTGGTTTGGCAGCCCAATCTCTTAAACATCGTTCCAAAATAAAAATGTTTCGACTGCATGTATCGACTTCGTGTATTTCCATTATTTCTTCGTTTTCTTGATTTCTTGTTATGTGCAAATAGCTGAACAGAGTTGAGAAGTGAACGTGCCATTGGCAATAGCATACTGACCTAACCCAAAATATATAAAAGCATACAAACACATACTTTTTTGCCATTATGGCAATCTTTCAAATACTCTATCCATATCCTTTTGGTTTTCTTTTTTATTTCTTATGTATAAGGATTTGATTGCAAGCTTCTTCAAAGCGTTTGAGCGATTTTCATTTTGCTTGGCTTCTTCGGCTGTTTTCGGAAATATGAAATTTGTATTTTTTTTTTTTTCAAAAATGCTGGCTTGTGGCTGTGACAATGCTGATATATGTAGTTGGAGTACAGAAGTATACAACAGAAAGTCAAAACATGAAAAAAAATGTATTATGGTTGCACCGAGTCTATAATAACCATCACAAATATTAAAGATTCCATAGAAGAACTTTGATAGATCAGTTATATGCTCTAGTGACTTGATCTGTATAATTTCTTCGGAGATTGCACCGTTTCCTTAGACAATAAACCATAATAATTTTTTGAAAGATATCTCGTGCAATGGAAAAGTTTTCAATATAAGCACTTAATTCCGTTTGTTCAGTTTGAGGGCAGCCCTATGCTATAGTAATCTGATTTGAACACCAATCGTAGGAGATTGCACCATTTCTTTACGCAATACTCCATGTCAAATTTCTTGAAAATATTTCGTCAAACGAAAGCGAATAGACAGACGGATATGGCTAAATATATAGTACATATACATACATAAACGATTGTATATACTTTATAGGGTCTCTGACGTTGCTTGTGGCAGACTTAATATAGTCAGTTCAGGGTAGAATCAAGGGGACAGCGTAATTTTTAGAAGATCGATTTGCCCCCAAATCTAGTACTAAATTTAAAATTTTGTGAAATTTTATATGGTTGCAAGAAAAGAAAAAAATGAGTCCGTATCAGGACGCTCCATTACTTGAGAAAAACTCTTATTGAACCTAAATGAAAATTTCATTATTTATTTAAAACTTTTCACACAACTTAAGTGCAAGTGATTTAATTGCTACAACGGAATATAAAAATGCACACCTAATTAACTCCGTTCCGGTAGACGTTTTCGAATATGTACATATGTACTTAGTATATGCCAATGCAAAAACATATTTCATTCCTATTGAAATGTAAATGAAGCGAAATATGTAATTGTGCTAATGTAATAATTATATTTTCAGAAATGAGACTACACAGCTACACACATTTCTGAGGTTATTTAAAGTCGAAAATGTGCTATAATTATTTTAAGTTTACCAACTTGCCTTTTTTCCGCCGTCATTACATATGTACATATGGTACATAGATACATACTTTAGATCTTATATTTCAGAATAATAGAAATTGGTGTACTTATGTATCATATGGGGTTTAAGGGATGATATTGTCTTACATATACATATCTTACGTTTTGACCGGATATGGTCTCCAGACGGTTACATATGATGTAAAGTGAACCATTCGGAGCTAAGAGAAATATTTAATGAGAACAGTAAAATGTTAAAAAATATCTGTGATCAAATACTGATCAGTTGTGCTACAAGCAAAAATCAACTATATTATTTGCCATACAGACAACAGTTCAAACCTTTTCAAAAAATATGCTAAACATTTCTAGTTGGATTATGGCGCAAAGCCATTGGTCTAATTGAAACCCATTGGAAAATCGTTCTATAATTGCCAGGCAATTTTGCTACAAAGTTACACATTTGTATATGTATGTATATGGAACTGTGTATCTACATAGTGTCGAATTTATTTCATATGCTAAGTGAATTTATGTCTTTTATACATATACTCTATATATATACATACAATACATATGTGCATGTGGATGTAATATATTGGGTGACTGCACGTCGTTGGACGCACTTTGCAGTCTCAGTAATTAGCAGAACCTGTTTCTGGAAGCTTCAAAAACGATACAGACACAAATCAAACAGCTGTGAACTCTGATATTCGACAATATAAAACACATACATATATATGTATGTATGTGCATACATACATTTACCCATGTGCGGTCTTTTGTATTGGCGACGTGCTGACGAAGCTATATACATATGTACATAAGTAGACATTTCAGCAATATCCTCTTGATAAAAGTTGTTTTATTTCATAGTCATCTCCTAACCCAGCTTTGCTTTTTCATTTATTATATACAGCTAACCCCAGAGAAATAGCACACTAAAAACATTTTTTAAACCATGTTGTTTCGG